GAAGCCTGAAGCTTATACAAGTTGGATGGTATTCTTCAAAGAATACAAAATTATAAGTGTAAAATCTGGTAGAAGGCTAGCAAGGGTCCTGAACAAGTAAAGGTACTGGAATTCAAGCTTCATAGCTTAATGGTGCATCCTCCTCTGCTATAGCAAGGGAAGAATTACCTATTTTTAGGAACCTAGTTTTAGATTTACCAGTGTATGTCAGTTAGGATGCTCTCCAACACAATAATTAAACTTGCAAGCAAAGCCACTTGAACTGGATTCAATAATACGGAAGAGTAGGGGCTCATGTAAATGAAAAGTTCAGTTGCTGGACAGGCTCTGTGGTTGGTGGATCTAGCTATCTTAACAATGTTATCAATGACCCAGTTTATTTCAATCTTTCAACTGCACTGTCCATGGTATCTATTTCATCTTAGGCGGCTCCCTTCAAGATTATGGCATGAATAACAAGCAGCAGTGGGGACTACTAACTTCCTCTTTCCTATTAGAAGAGAGAGGAAAATTGCCTAAATTACTGAGCAATAATCTTTAGCTTCAAATCCCAGCTTGTTTCATTCAAGCATCTGATTCACTAAGGCCTAAACCAAGCACTATGGTAAGAGGGATAAAGTAACTTTAAATTTCCTACACTAATCAGGGCCTGCCCCCAGTGACAAGGATATGTCTCATTCAAGAAATGTAGCTGCCACATAATGGAGTGGAATTGAGTTTGATGAAACATCCACAATACAAAAATTAACCAAAGGGTAGAATCTGGACTAATGAACTAAATATATCAAAAGTTTTCAAAATATTCATTTGATTTATGCTACTGACCAAGCACCTACATTAAATGCTCTTTTTTTGTTCTTTTTTAGTGAACCCAGAGCCTTGGGCATGCTAAACATATGATCTATCACGGAGCTATACTTTCAGTCCAAGTACTAAACATTTATTAAGAGAATAAATGAATTTGTTGCCAAGAGATTAGAAACACTGTGGAGCATTAAATAATTAATTTTAATCATTTCCGTGAAATGCAACTATGTCAAAATACAAAGTTAGAACAACGAAAACATTTATAAATTATAAGATTTAAGTCTTAGTGAAATTAGCCTTCTAAAACTGGTGAGATAGCTCAGTGGTAAAGCATGTGTTCAGCATGCACAAGATACCTGGATTCAATCTCCAGTGTTACAAAAAGAACAAAATAACTTTCTGTTCAGAATCATGTCTTATCAAGGAAAGTGGAAATAGGACGAAAGTGGCTCAAAGTGGCTTTTCAAAGTAGCTCTTCAATTCTAATTTTAGGGATTCAATAAGACAAAAAAATCTTTCACAAAAAAACAAGGATAAGTACAAAATGAAAGATAATCTAACTTTGATATTGAGATAAGAGTAAAGGTCTGCACTAAATCTTGTTTTATAATAGAATAAAACATAAGTACATACCTTAAGCTAAAAATAATGATTTAGCATATTTTTCTAAAAGAAAAACGAAGTAATTTTCTTTGCGTGGACAAAGCTATGAGAGGAAAAGAAACATGTAATAATTTTATATAACCTCTGATTTTCCAATTCTTACATCTTATATGGGTTCCTGCCTAAAAAGATGAACAAAAATTTGTTTTGAAATTCAGAATACATTTTAAATATACAAAAGCTGCTAAGAAGTTTACGTTAATTTGATAAATACTGATGTTAAAAATGTTTATTTTTAAAAATGAAACACTATATTTCTTGACCATCTGGTACAAAGTTTTGTATACAAAAGTTGTAATAAATCAAGCCATACCTGTTTTAGGTAATGTGAAATTAGATATGGTATAGTTCATTCAGGGTGGGGTGATTACACTGCAATGATTTTAAATCAAGGCTCCACCTCAGGAACCTTGGAATGTTAGGGAGGAGATCAGAAGTACACAGCTTGACAAGAACTTCAGCTATTCTCATAAACAATTTGATTACTTATGCTGACTCTTCTACACTAAACAGGTTATCCTTGTCTTAAATTTGATGATTCTATGTAGCATTTACATAAAATAGTATAATTTCAGGAAAGATTTAAATTATAATTTGTTTGAAAAGAGAATCAATAGTATACAGTAGGCCTTTGAGTAATATGCATAATTAAGAATATGCCAACTGATACCTTTCCTGCCTTAAGAATCTGATTTTGGTTGAAAATCGTGACTCTGGAAGGCTGAGGCAGAAAGATCCTAAGTACAACCACAAGCATGGGCAATTAAGTGATATGCTATCTCAAAATCAAAAAACTGGTCTGAGGATGTAGCTCAGTATGAAGGCTCTGGCTTCAATCCCCAGTACTGCAAAAAAAGAAAAAAACAAACTGATTTTGTCAGATTAGATAAGCATCGATCGATTCCTCTAGTAGGGGGAAAAAATCACCACTTCTCTTATAGAATTACACATGTTCCCAGAATAAAGCCTAGATCATTACAATGGTTCTTCGTGCTCTATTAAAATCTCTCCTCTCCCCATCTCTCTGATTTAATCCTTTTATTTTCCACTTGTGTCTTCTGCTCCAGCTATATCAGCTCTCTTTTGCAGACGAATATGCCATTACATTCTCAATTTGTAAAACATTGGTAAAGTACATACTTTATTCAGATTTACTTAATTTTTGCTAAAGGGCCTTTTGTTTTGGTCATATGAACACTAAGTGCTTTTATTTTGAAAGCCTATTTACATGAATATAAATTATTTCCTCAGTTTGGGTTACCATAGAGAAATGAGCTTGAAAGTCCTAAATTGCTGAGCTTCATAATAACAATTTTGAACAAATTTACAGCATTTCACTTACTTTTTTAAAAAATCAGGTTAGCTAGGCATGATGGTGCATGCCTGTAATCCCACCACTTGGAGGCTGAGGCAGGAGTATAGACATGAGGCCAGCCTGGGCTACATAGTGAGTTTAAGGCCAATATGTACTACAAAATGAGACTCTGTCTCAAAATAAAATAAAATTTAAAAATTTAAAAATCAGGTTAAACATATGTATCTCTTCAAATAGTTATCATTTCTTTATAGTAAAAACAAACTTTTAAAATTCTTCCTTCTAGCTTTTTGAAATATAAAATCACATTCTCACTTTTAAGCCTTTCCACCAGTTGCTCCCTCTGTCTGGAATACAATTTCCTCGGCAGTCACAATATTAACTACCTCATTATCTTCTACTCAGACTGCCTCTTTTCAATGTCTGTCCTGCCCATGCCACTTAAAATTGTAGCTCTGCCCACTGTCAACCTCCACACCCTTTTCCCCTTGCTATGATTTTCTCCCTAGCATTTACTGTCTTCTAATTATCTTATGTAATTTTCTTATGTATTACATGTATTGTCCATTTCTCATTTTATAAGTCTTAGGAAGAAAGTAATGTGTTTTTTTGTTTGTTTGCTTGCTTGCTTTATAAGATAGTGTCTTGCTATATAGCCCAGGCTGGCCTGGAACTCCTGGTGATCCTCCTGCCTCTGCTTCCAGAGTGCTGGGAATACAGACGTGAACCACCATGCCCAGCTGTCATTTTGTTGTTCTTATTTCTAGCTTACCTTCATTGTCAGGAGAAATGTTAGGTACATTGTAGGTCCACAGACTTTTTTTATTAATAGTGGCCTTTTAAAAATGAGATTGAGTTTTAACTATGTTGCCCTGGCTGGCCCTGAACTCCTGGTCTCAAGTGCTGTTCCTGTGTCAGCTTCTCGAGTAACTGAGATTGCAAGTTCTTTCAACCACGACTCTCTGGTGCAGTAGTTAATATTTTTATTATCACTTTGTTTACAGTGGAAGCAGGAACCTGAATGCATTTTAATCACGCTTCCAAAGTGAAACTTCATCCGTAAAAAATGTACAAGTCAGTTACCATCTTCCTAATCTAGGGAGAATAAAACCATCAAGTTCTCATTTCCCAGCCTTCACACACACACACACACACACACACACACACACACACACTCACGAGAAAGAAGAAATACAATACAAAGATTCCCCAGCGCCACGGAGCGGAGGCAGATTTTTGGGACAGTATTCAGAATGAAGCACCCAGAAGTGCTGATTACTGGGTTTTCAGGGCGGTTGAACCAGAAAGTGGAATTCAGAGGGCAAGATTTTCTGCAGGACTCTTGACATAACTCACCTTACCAAGACGACTTCGTCCCGGAATAGGACGAGGGCCTTGTAAGTATTGCACTTCTGAAGTCTACCTGCATTTCAGAAGCAAGATACTCAGATCCTCAGTGCCTGCCTCCTCCTCGGTTCCACTCAGCTCCGCCAACCTAAATTCTTTCACCAGTTAGGCTCGCACGCACAGATGCTGAACGCCGGAACACAAGTCAGTGAAAGAAGGTTCGCTGCGTCCATCTGTTCATTTCCCCTGAGTCTAAGGTTAAAACTGAAGCTTAACAGCGCCGTGAAAGCCCGAGAGGGTAATTCGCAGCCTGAGAATCCCCTCCCTGGCCCTGACACCTGCTCCTTGTCCCTCGACCTCACGGATAACCTGCCTCATTTGAGGCCAGCTCTGCGCAGAGCGCAAAGGCACGGGTCATCACATCACATTTTGAGGCTCCAATTCTGTTTCTTGAGCACTGCCGAGCAAGCGGTACCAGCAAGGACCTCCGTTTACCGACCCAGCCCGGGAGACACCACAATCCCTCCCGCCCACTCCGCTTCGACTCAGTCCGGCGCCAGTCAACACCCTCGGGCGACAAACTCTGTGGAAGTTTACGTGACCCCACCCGCCGGGGCGGGACTAAGGCTCGGCCCAACCAAAGCTCGAGGCCCATGACTGCCGAGCAAGCGGTACCAGCAAGGACCTCCGTTTACCGACCCAGCCCGGGAGACACCACAATCCCTCCCGCCCACTCCGCTTCGACTCAGTCCGGCGCCAGTCAACACCCTCGGGCGACAAACTCTGTGGAAGTTTACGTGACCCCACCCGCCGGGGCGGGACTAAGGCTCGGCCCAACCAAAGCTCGAGGCCCATGAGAGGACGGCGGCAGGGGCGTGGCCTTCTCTCGGCCCAGGTGAAGCCTCTAGAGGTCTCTGGGGAACCGCGCAGGAGCAACGTTGTCTTCTGGAAGGATGCTGGGCCGAAGTCGTCTCATCTTCGTCTTTCTGGCCGCGGCTGTCACCAGCGCTGAGGCGCAGCACGTGCCACCGGTGAGTGAGCTGAAGCTGCAGGTGCAGGCGCGGGCTGGCTCGCAGCGTGGCGGGCGGCGGCCTCTTTACCCGGATCCGAGATGTCCCTTGCACAGGTGTGGGTTCAAACTCGGCCGGGGAGCCCCGTCCTAGGTCGACTTGGTGTTAGCTAGAACAAGAACACCTTTTAGGGAAATTCTAATTTCCTCAGAGTGACTGGGTGTGTATGATTCGCACATCCCCAGATTTGAGTGATAGTATTAGAAATAGCAATTCCAAGTTGTCTTAACCAGAACTCTTAAAAGAAGTTTCCATCGAAATTTGTGCAGTCCTCGAGCACCGGATTGCTGATGACTTGGACGTGCTCAGCCTGGTGACCAGGTGCTTTTCTCCGGGCGAAGCTGCCTCACGGAAAGCTGCCTGGTCTGAGTAGTTGAGGCAGCCTGGGCCGGTGCCCGCTGTGCCGCTGACCCCACACTTCACCTTGGTCACAGGAATGCAGGACTTGCTCTTTCACACGAACTGTTCAGAGGGCTTCAGGCTTGGTAACCACAAGAGACAGTGTCGGACCTCAGTGACTTCTATTTAACAAAAGAGGAAGTAGTCCTACAGTGAGCAAGTATGTAGCCAGAGGCCACATTATTGTTCCCTAATACTATTACTAAACTCAGGCCTTGTGACACACTCTGGCGATTTTTCCTAATTCATTTCTTTCAGAGCAGTACAACTTTATGTGTTTTTTGTTTGTTTGTTTGTTTTGTTTTTGCCAGTAGATAGCGAGAGATCTGGGTGCATCTGACCAGAGCCTAGGAGAGAATGATATAAGTGGGAGCATGATGTATAATTTTCTTTTTATTCTTTTATTCCTGTAAGGAGAAATGCTTTAAGGATGAAATCATGATGAGATATTCAGTCATTGAAAATTGATAGAATATTTAGCAAATAAAAGCAGCACATACATAGTGATTTCAGTAATAAAAAAATGCATAGTAGTATGTGCATTTGGACAAGAATTGAAAGATCATAAGCAAAAATCAAATTAGTTTGCCTTGGTGTAGGTAGATAATTAATTTGCTTGAGAGTGGTTTAAAGAATTTATTATTATTAATATTGTCAATGCAGTTACCCAGAGACTACCAGGAATACACTAACTAGTAGTTGAACAAATTGAATGTGTTGTTCTTGGAAGTGAGAATGCCAACTGTGGGTTAAAAGAAACCTATTACAGAATTTGCACCTTTGTGTGTGATTTGGGGATTAGCCTGAGAAATCTGGAGGTTGCTGCTGATTGGATGCTTTTAGAGAGTGGGGCATTTCTTGAGGAAAGAAACAAGTCATTCACTGAGCAAGAAAGAGAGGAGGTGTTTGGTAATGTGTGGGTTGCACTTTGCCCTTGTTTTTCATGAAATCATGAATTGTCCTGGCTTTGTCTCATTTAGCTTGAGTGAGACCTTGGGTTCAACCTCAAACAACAAAATAAAAGAAATGAAGGAGGGTAGTACCAGTGCAAGAGAGATGTAGGTGTTTTCGGAGGAAATCAGGAGACAGAATGAACAGAAGGAAAGACTGGATGAAGGTGAGGAAGGGAGGTGTGAGCGTGTCTGGTGTGGGGAAGATTAAGATTGAGATCAATTAAGATTGATGAAATGATATGAAGCCATTGGAGCAGATGAATTTTCCTAGAAAGTGCATATAGGAAGAGAAAGGAGAAACTAGACAGAATGTGAGTCGCACAAATATAGGTAAAGAGGAAACTGGCAAAGTTAGAGCACTCCAAATGGGAGAGGAAGTGTGACAGGGAAGACAGTGGGATAAGTTACCTATGTTGAATAGTATTGAGATGTGAAGTATCCATCTCAAGACTGGAGGTACTGAGTCATATAGAGGTCATCGGGTCATTTTGACAACTGGAAGTCATTGGTTCATCTTGGCTGGAGCAGTGTTGGTGACGAAATAGATTTTAGTGAGATTAGTAGCAATCGGAAGGAAAGGAACTGGAGTGGGAGAACTGACTTCTCAATAATTAACATGAGATTATCCATAAGATATGTGAGAATAAAACACAGTGGCTTAATAATGAAAGGCTTCAACTTCTCATAGGAGTGGTAGCACTGTTGACAGTAGCTATTGAATCATCTTGAGCAGTGATTCTTCACAGAGTTTCCCAGGATCTCATAAATCCTGTATGACTTTACCAGGGCTATTGTACTGCATGGGCTTTCTCTCAGTGCTGTAGAAAAAGGAACACACAAGTACAGTACAACCTACTCACTTATTTAGCTAATATTGCATACTTTCCATGTGCCAAACTCCATTCCAAGTGCTGCCAGTGAGTCAGTCAGACAAGGGCACTGCCCTGTTGGAGGATTTCTTCCCATTCCTTTTACCTGAATATCAGCAGTTTAACAGGTGCCATTTTATCAAAGACTGGGAGACATCTGGAAAATTTCCATGCTTATCTGAATTTTATATGTAAGACATGCTATTTCTTATTAGGTATGTATCTGTTTAGTTTTAGGTAGAAACTAAAGTAGCTAACAAGCACATGAGGTGCTCCATTTTTATTTATTTATTTATTTTTTTGGTACCAGGGATTGAATTTAGGACCTTGCACTTGCAAGGTAGGCAGCAGAACCACTGAGCTAAATCCCCAGCCCCCAATTTTTCTTTGTATATTATTAGAAGCATACACTTCACTGAAGGTATCACTAATTCGGCTGGAGTCAAATACTTGAAGGAGTTGGACGAGTTCTGTCTTTTTTTAGGGTGTGGAGCATTCACTGACTCCTTTATGAAATACCTTTCACTTGGTATATTATTTTCCTGAGTATTTTATGATCAGTAAGTAACTCTTTAATTCATTTTTTTAATAAGATGGGAGAACATAAAAATTGATTCATTTCACAGAAATTTAAGTTTCTATCAGATAACCAGAATAACTGGAGAATTCATGGACCAAAAAGCTATTTAGAAAAATATTTTCCATAGTTTTAAATAGATTGAAACATCAGAATTTCATCACTTGCCTTTGTCCTTAGAAAGCAACACAAGAGTGTGTAAAATTCTAAATTTGATTGTTTTCCTGCAATGAGATAGCAAATTATACCAATCTGACTATGCTATCTTGACCTGTTTATCATCCTTCCTAGCATCTATTTAAATTTTTACCTCTCTTGATAAGGTTATGTTATTAAGACCATATATTAAATTAAGCATAATAAAAAACTTGTAAGAACAAATGAGTTTATGATAATTTTATTTCAAGGTTGCAGGTAGGCACTAAAGCTGTGATTCCCTTGGAAGAGTGCCTTGGAAGACCATACTTTTCCACAAAGCTAGTCTTTTTATATAGCCCCTCGTGCATCATGGCAGATTTTTAGAAAAGATATATTCTGGGGGTATATAATGCCCATGTTTACTTTTTAGGAGTATTTTGTTGATGAATTGTTAATTTTAATTTTGTGAGTTCTATTATATTAAACTGTGTGCTTAACAGGAAAATAAAATATCAATAAAATAAATTATTAAAATTTTAATATGTAATGTGTGTAGAATAAGCATCAACATTTTCAGCATCAACTGTTCACCTGTTTACAAAAATCTAAAAAATAACAGCAGAAATAAATTCTTGTGTGAACTACAATGAAAATACAAATGAAACTACCACAGAAATTTCTTTGTTTCACTTATCGCACCTAAGGCAGTCTTCGCACATGACAACAGCATGTTCCATACACAAGTCTCACTTAATACTGACAGCACCTATGCTTAGCTTTCTCTTCATGTTTGGCAGGCTGTATTTATCACCTCTCTTCTTCTCTTTTGTTTGGAGTCTCCTATTATACAGTGTCCACTTAGGAAAATGAAATATCAAATATATACCAAGTATTTAAAATAAACATCCAATATTTTATACATCGACTGTTTGCTTACTAAATCTAAAAAATAGCAGCAGAAATAAATTTCTATGTGAACTACAATGAAAATACAAACAAAACTGCTATAAAATAATCTTTGCAAAAAAAATTTTGCTTCAATTGTCACACCTAAGGTAGTTTTCACGCATGAGAAAAGTTCCTTACACAAGTCTCACTTACATTTATAGCATGTATTTTTTGTTTTCTTGTCTTCTTTAGTAGGACATACTTGTTATCTTTTTTAAAGTTGATTTTATTGGTATATTTAATTGTAAACAATATAATGACATTCATTGTTGGAAATTCTTACCTTTATATAATCAACCTTGGTTCTTATTTTTTCCCCATTCCCCTGCCCTTCCTTCTACTCCTCCCTCCCTCGCTATCTACTTTGTTTGCATTTTTCCTTTTCTCATATTAATTCCTTTCCCTTCTTTCCCCTACCCCTCCTGTTTCCCCTTCCTCTTTGTTCCTTTTCTTCCTTTTTATATTATTATACCTTTTCCTCCTTCTTTACACTTTCATTTTCTCATACTAGAGAAACTATTTGGTATTTGCACATATGTGTCCTATTTATTTCACTTAAGATGCCTCAGTGTGCTTCCATTTAGCTATAAATGTCTCTAATTTCTAATTTTTTATGGCTGAGTCGTATTCCATTTTATATTTAAAAAAACAACAACTCCAAGACTTGTCATGTAGAGGTACAAGATCCCAACAATGAATGTAACTGTACTGTATCCCTAAAATGTACCAATAAACTCAATTAAAGCTGAAAAAAAAAAAAACAACAACAACACAACAATTTTCTTTTTCCAGTCTCCCATTGATGGGCATTTGGGCTGCTTTTACATTTTAGCTGTTACAAATTGTGCTGATCTTTATAATTTCCTCCCTTGTATGAGCTTTGGGTTTGTCCTGTTCTTCTTTTTCTAGAAGCTTGAGATTCAGCATCAGGTTGTTTAATTGTGCTCACTGTGTTTTCCCAATATGCATATTCAGTGCTATGAATTTCCCTCTTAAGACTGCTTTCATTGTGTCCCATAGATTCTGATATGTTGTATTATCATTGTCATTTAATTGTAGAAACTCTCTGATTTCTTC